GTTTCCGCACCCCACCCTGTACATGGACTTTGGATCCAGTTGGGATAGTTCATTCAAAAAGTGAGTAGCTGTGATTGATTTGAGGTTCTCACAGTGGTGACTACGAAGGGCAGTGTTTTGTGAGATGTATGCTCTGTAATATTTCTTTTGATCAGCTCCTTTTTCAATGAAATTTTTCCATAAATCATTATGTTTAAAAGATTCTAATCTAGTGTCATATCCTGTTTCACCATTTACAGAAAAAGGGAGATGGATAGACTTTTGTGCTAGATTGCTAACCATTACAATTCTAATTAATCAGGCAGTTTGTGCCGTACTGTGCCAAGCAAACGCAGTTATCTAAAAATCTCAAAGTTCAAGATTGAAAAATAGACTGAATTGAGATATTATTTTTATCTTTTCAATTTAAAAATATTGAGACTTGCACATGCCTGGTTTGGGGCGCTTTTCCTGTCTCTCCTGTATATTTCCTCCATATTTGCATGAGATGTCATGTATGTAATTCTTTGATTTGTGCATCACATTTTCTGGTTTGTATTTTTTGTTTATGTTGCACAGCTCTGTTTCTGTTCTGAATAGCGTTCATACTTCAAAGGCTTTCCAGTTTTGCATATCTGTTTCTGGCAATACCTGGATATATGGTAGTATCATGGTACTTTCTGTGGTTTCCTGTTTAGTGTGGTTCTATTTTAGGCTGTCGCTGAGGACTGAATTCTATTGTGAATCTATTATTAATTAACATGCCTCTTAGAGTCATTTGTTCCTTATTCAAGCTGTGACATTTATGTGTTTAGTTTCTTTGTTCTCTTGGAATATGGCTATTATTGCATAGTACACCTAAAATTACTGAAACAAAGACATACAGATATATGCAAATGGACTGTATATCATACAGTGTTTACATAAAACCAATATTTCTTGAGCTGCTACTACTTCTAACATGTCACAAGCAAATGAGTCTGCTATCCTTACTAACCTCAGCACATGGTAGTATGCTGATTTTCACATCTGTGCATCCAAGGCCATGATTAATGATATGAAAACAACATTCTATTTAATTTACCATTTAATTAGATTGACAACAGGTACTTTTACGTCCATATCAAAGTATTCTGCAGCCACAGCAAATAAGATTGAACAGAATTTACAGAAAATCCTTCTTTTTAAAAAATACAAGCATAAAAGGTAACACTTGGGCACAATGTTGAGATGTAGGGGAGAGTGGATGTAAAGGCTCACAAATTCTTAAACTAGGCAAGATGGAGGTAAGTTTACCCCTGAAGAAAGATCCTCTGGTACCCATCAGCTAGGAGGCTGAATGCAGTGGTGAGAAAATAATTCTTGCTCCTATCAGGAATTCAACCTCAATTGTCTAGCCCACAGCACCACTCTAGAAACTGAACTATCCCAAATTTAAAAATAAATTTTATTTTAATAAAGTGTTGCATTTTTTTTTACTGTTATGCCCAAGATACTGCATTTGCTGTGATCTTCAGCCACACTGGAGTCATCATCAGCTTTATTTAGCGAAAAAATCAGCAGCAGCTCATGGCTTGAATTGGCGGTGCAATTAAAGCACAGACTAATATGATGACTTAGAACATTTTTGTATCGCACTGATGGCTATGATGATAATAGTAGTAGTAGTAGTAGTAATAATAATAATAATAATAATAATAATAATAATAATTGTGATGAAGAGAGACAATAGAGGATCATTCTGTTTCTGTTCTTTCTTTTTATTCTGTTAATGCCATTCAGCACACCTAAACTTTAAATGGAGATTTTTATTCTCCCATTATTCATGTTCTATAATTTAGCAAGTATAAAAAATATATGAAAATGTTAAGTAAAGCTCTGCTTTGATTTCAAATGTTTCTGTTGTGTCTTGGAGCAAATTATCAATATCTTATAATAACCAATGTGGACAGACCAATACTAAGACTGAATATGAGTAACAATACGTGAACACAGTCACAGATTTTGTTTAATATAAATTTCATTTTTAACAGAAAATTGGAAGAACATGATATGGCAAAATATAAATGGAAGGAATAGGCCTACAAAGCTAGAATATTTTATTCTTATGATATTCCTGATGAAGAGAGAAAAAAGTGACATTTGTTTTTAATTATACAAATCACATACCAATGGCCTTTATTCTCTGTAGATGTTCCCATGGCATTTTCTGGAAAAGAAGAAGAAAAATGTCATATTCTCTAATTAAATCTATACATCTGGGCAAAAATTTAATTTATCAAAACAGGATATATGAGGGTTGGAACTTTAATAGTGGCAACACTACTGCAGAGACGCCATGCAACGGAACCAAATAATGTTGCTTATACCACATGTTAGTTATATGTCTACCTTACTTCAGAGCAAATGGACTCTCCCTTCCCACATCACGCGCATGCGCAGTGACGAGAAGAGCAGAGCCTCATGTTAACTGGCGGTCTAATGTAGTGTTGTCACAATGTTTTCGAAACAGGAACAACGGAGTTGGATAAAGATTGAATGTGCCAGAGGCTGTACTGCATGACAGTGTCATCAAGGTCTTCAAGAGGCTTGCGGGGAATCTGCATTGCCTTACAGAACAATGGCAAGGTGGGTGAAAGCCTTCAACGAGGGACGCCAAAATGTGGCAGACATGCGTCGGACAGGTCATCCTAGTGTCAGTGAAGAAGAAGTGTATGCTCTTTCCATGTTACTGGAGAGTGATCGACGCCATACGATTCGTGAGCTGGCTCGAGAGACAGGATCAGCGTATACGACTGTGCTTCACATTCTGAAGGAATGCCTAGTCATGAGAAAGATTGCATCATGATGGGTTCCGTATGATTTGACGGAAATGCAGAAATGGCTACGATACGATGCTGCTCGTAACCACTTGGAGCGCTATGAGCGAGAAGAAGAGGCTTTCTTATGCTGTATCATTATGCTGGATGAGACATGGGCTAAATCGTATGAGACACAAATGAAACGCCAATCAAACGAGTGACATCAGTACGGGAAATCACGAAAATCAAAAGTTCATCAGAACCCCAGCAATGTGAAAGTTATTGTATGACTGTGATGGTGCTATCCTAATGCATACCGTTCCCCGACAGCAGACCGTCAATCCACAGTATTACTGTTCATTTTTGGAACACAACCTGCGACCAGCTTTGAGAAAGAAGTGGCGACACTTTCTGCAGAACCCACATATCATTTTGAGGACAATACTCGGCCTCATGCAGCGCAAGCTGTGGCTGATTTGTTTGATCAATGGGGCTGGGAAGTGCTGTACCATCCGTCATACTCACCAGACCTAAGCCCTTGTGACTTCGACTTGATTCCTAAGATGAAGGAACCACTTCATTGCATTCGCTTCAGAACTGTTCCAGAGATTCTTCAGGCAGTAGACCGCTCCATTTGAACTATCAACACGACAGGGACTGCTAAAGGTATCCTATGACTTCCACATTGCTGGCAACGGGGTGTACACAATGCTGGCGACTACACTGAAGGACAGTAAAACTTCGAAACATGCATCTATTTTGTATCAGTTGTAAAGAAGTAGTTGCCGCTATTAAAGTTCCAACCCTTGTGTGTATATATATATCCCCATTACAATAGCAGAAGTTGAACTTACATGGCATATTCATAGTTCATACAATCTAAAGCATGGAACAGTTGACATCTGATTACGAAACTACTCAAATCTACTGTCACAGTGTGATTATTAACTTTTCTGCCTTGTAATGGGGGTTCTCCAGTTTGAATAATAATAACACAAATTCTTATATGGTACTTGACAATCAGAAAGTACAGAAAGACTCTCAATATCATTTTTATTGTCTGCCACTAGATCCCACTGTACTTCAGTTTCTCTTTGTAGGAAGGATAAAGAAATAAGCATCAGTGTAATTTGGTAAGAAACATCACAATGAATGAGAATGAGGCTGAACTGCATCTACCATAAAGTCATTCTAGGGCCCGGATTTTTTGAAAATGCATATGTGCATATGCAAATGCATAGTTTGAGGGTTTTTGGTCATTATTGCATATTCTAAATGTAAGAGCATATATCTGTATATATATGTTTCGAATTAAGGATAATTTCAATATTCTCTAACAAAATTGGTTTTGCCTGTTTTGCCTTGCCAGTTGCTATTCTCAACTCTCTGAGTAACGGCACTTTTACCACTTACAATACAAGCAGGTAGCTTGGCTATTTCGAAAGGGAGGGGGTGGGATTTTCCTGCAGTTCTTTGACCACCACAGCAGACAGGAGCATCAGAGGTTTGGTCTCGAGAGAAGTCTCATCAGTTAATGTGTTACTCTTTACTTTAATAGTCTGCATCAAAAAAGTGTTCGTGTACCGAAAATGCCTAAAGAAAAGTGCAGCAGTAGATATTTAAAAATTCAGTGGGTGTCAGGTAATAGTGACTATTCAACAGACGGTGTCATCGTGTACTGTGAAGTGTGTGCAAAGGAAGTAAACTGTGAAAAGAAATTTCAACTTGAACAACACTCAAGAATGACTGCACATATTACAGCAAAGAAGGGGAAGAAGAACAGCACACCACAATAACTATTTCTTACACAGGTCAAACCCAAATCCTCTGTTAATACATTTTCAGCCAATCTTTGTAAGGCTTTATATGCAGCAACATTCCATTGAATAAATTAAGCAATCCAGTTGTGCAATCATTTCTGGAAAAATACTGTGTAATTAAAAAAATCTCAAATGAATCAACGCTTAGAAAAAATTATCTACTTTTGCTGTATGAATCTACTCTGGAGTCAATCCGTTCTGACATCGGAGGGAACTGTGTCTGGATATCGGTGGATGAGACAACCGATTTATGTGGCCGATACATAGCAAATTTTGTAGTTGGTAAGCTACATCCAGACGAGCCCAGCAACCCTCATCTTCTTGTGTGCAAAGTACTAGAGAAAACCAACTATAGCACAATAGCAAGATTTGTAAATGATTCTCTGCGACTACTATGGCCATCTGAAATTGAGAATAATTGTTATAAGGTGCTTGTATTACTCACAGATGCAGCTTCCTATATGTTGAAAGCAGCAAAGGCCTTACAAGTATTTTATCCAAATCTTATACACGTAACCTGTTTAGCGCATGGATTACACCGTATTGCAGAAAAAATACACACACAGTTTCCAGCTGTTAACAATTTAATTGCAAGTGGGAAAAAACTGTTTCTGAAAGCACCAGCTCGTGTACAGTTCTACAAAGATTGCCCATCTCAGGTTCCTCTGCCACCTGACTTGTCCTAACTAGGTGGGGGACATGGATATCCGCAGTTTCATTTTATCAGGAGAATTTCAATCAAGTAAAAGAAGTGGCTGCAAAACTTGAAGATGAGTATGCATGTGTATGTGAAGCAAAAGTGGTGTTTGGAAGTGATACTGTTTATCAAGATGTGAATTTTATTCATGCACATTTTTCTACAGTTTCAAAAGCCATTGAGAGCTTAGAATCTTGTGGTGCACTCCTTCACGACTCACTTCAACTTGATCAGAAAGCAATTTGTTCACTGAATTCCGCTCCAGGCAAAATTGGAGAGAAGATTAAATTCAAGTTAGAAAGGGTGTTGAAATCGAACCCAGGACTAAAAAAGATTCAGTCAATTAGTCAGTACTTGAGTGGAATTAGGGTATCTTTGTCAGATGAATGTTCTGAACCTTCGGCGCCAGTGTATAAATACTGTCCAATCACATCAGTTGATGTAGAAAGATCATTCTCAGCCTGTAAACTCATTCTGATGGACAACAGATGCAGTTTGTCTCCAGAAAACACTGAAGGACTTCTAGTTGCCTATTGTGATGCTACTTTCTGCAGTGAATGATACACATAAATAGACGAGCTTGAATAAAGTGACCTGTTTCTTAAGTGCATATTGTTTTATTTTTGGTGCATATTTTCCCACTTTTTAGCACATATTTTAAGTGTTTTTAGTGCATAAAGATCCGGGCCCTAGTCATTACTAAATTATAAGATAAAATTACAAAAGCAACCTGGAATACGTTTCAGAATAATACAATGGAAGCATTTCATAGTGGTGTGATTTTATACTATTATCTTCTAGGATGTGATAATATGTAATCTTGTAGATCAATACCAATGTCTCAAAGAATCTGCTGCCTCCATCTTCAAGGTAGAAGTGACTTCCGTTCTCAAGACTGATGCAGCAGGTTCCTCTAAAATAATGGCATTCACCTATGAGACTACATGGCATTACAGCTCACAATACCACAATCTAAACAAGTAAAACTCCATAATACATCATGAAAGATTACAGACATATAAAACTGTGACTGCAAGCCTGGAATCTGTAATAACTGTGTTGTAATGACTGATTGTCTTGTTAAGAATATGACTGAAATGACGAGTGAAAATTTGGCATGTGAGCACATCTCAATTATCTGCAATGGATATAAAGTTCAGTATATTCTGGTAAAAAGCAAACTCATCAGGGTTGCCAGTCAAAAAAGTGGGGAACTACATGTATAATGACTACTAATTCCAGTTCTGACATTTGTTGAGGCCCTATATCCTATGAGTATTCGATTTTGTTCAGCTTCTCCTATCAACGGCTGGACAATAACAAATTAACCTCATCACTTATTCCTGTGTTTCTCAACTTCTTCATTGTGACGAGATACTAAAATAATGTCATGGGATCTGTAGAGGACGGTGTTGCCTGCCTGCGATTGCCTCTCTTTCAATTGAAACATCGAGACCCACTTTTTGCTCCTTCTTGTAGGTTCTGGAAAGTGCTCAGCTGATGCTGAAGGCGAAAGTTGCCCGAAGATTCCCCAGACCTTCCTGAAGGGCGACCATGACTACAAAGCTGAAAACCTCTCGCCCTAGCAGAGCTCAGTAGAGTAGCATTGTAGCGCAGGTGTGTGAGACGAGTGACACTGTAAGGGAGTTTGAACAGTAAATCATTTATCGGTTCGGTTCTAAGTGACAAGAGAGAACAGGGTAAAAGGGGTGAGTACAACGCATGAATAGTGACGTTATGGTGAAACATCGTGTGGACGAAGAACTGACGACATAAGTGGTTAGAGACAGTGGGGCAGTAGATGCTCCAAATATCGATAAACGCTATAATATATTTCAGCATCCCAGGAATCAACAAGTGGAAAGTGTGCGTGAATTTACACACATACTGG